CACACACACACACACACACAGATGCCCACAGGCAACTGCACATATGCAATACAAAGCACCAAACTTCTCATTGAGAAATCCGTGGTTTTGAAATGATTCAATGACAATAACACTTGTTTCCTTTTCAACCTCTTAAGGCAAGTACACAACTTCCTCAGTTCGACAAGGAGACACATATTAAAATAAATAAATAAATAAATAAATAAATAAGTGGTATAAAATAGCACAGAACATGTTATATGAATAAATAAATAATTAAGAACAAGTAACTTTTTTCCACCACTGTGATAAACTCACATTAACCCCAAAGTGTATAGCCACACCCTTAGAAAACACCCTGCGCAGATTAAATATGACTTACATCTATACTATATATATATGGATGTTTACATATGTATATAGAAGATATCATCTGGTCTATGTGCAAGGAGGCATTAAATCATCTATGCCCTGTCACGCACCCCTCTTCCTACTCCCCTTCATAAACATCGTACACAGAATGGGATGCTTGCATTAACTCATGACTTGAAATATGAATAATAATCTTGCTGAGCAAAACCAAACTAAACTCCCTGCTTTAATTATCCATTTCAAAAGCACATGTTAAAGCTCAATGCTCTTTGCAACCTTGCTTTCTGAAGCTTGCTTTAGACCCTCCCTCAAAGGACATTGATCATGTGACTGACTCATCAATGTTTAGTTTCTTTAAAAATTTTAATCTACTTTTTATGATCAATACACAAGAGACATTCAATGAAAACCCTATTTCCCCATCTTTGCAGCTATTTCTTCTTATCTTCATAGATATAGGAAAAATCATTTGCTTTAACCGTCACGGATCCAAAGTGTTACTGCCTTTTACAAACAGCATCGAAGTGCATTTAACATTCATATAGTTGTAATGAACATCAACCAAATACTGTGGCACTTTTAAATAAGGAACACAACCATACAACCAAGCACTGTGCTGGCCAGACATGGTCATCATGTAATCCAAGCCAGTAAATCACTGTCCACAATGTCTACCAAGCTGGGCAGTGTCAGGCACAAGGCTACAAATCTACCTGATGGATGATGGTCACAATACTGTTGGACACTGTCATGTGCTGGTCAGGTGTTGACTGACCATTTCATGTGGGTATTCAGGTGGATGTGAAGGGATGAGATTGAAAATAAAATTGACTTTTTTTTTTTAAATCGATTAATCCATCCTTATCTTAGGCATGGGTAAATGTTGTAAAAAGTGAAAATGAAAATTAATTTATTTAAACTTCTGTTTATCTGATCATGAATCTGTCTGTTTCTTGCACACATACATCATCTATCATCCACTTCCTTGGCATCCTTGAAAAGTAGAGCAATGTACAAAAAGAGTGGGCACGTTTTGAACTGTTACTGTTACTATTGAATGCTGTATTAGTATTTATATCAAGGCAAAGGGTAATGTTTTTACATATGGGCCTTTGGGAAATTTTAGATGTGAAATGATTGTCTTATCTTATGCATTCCAATACCATTTATAACTCACAAACATGAAAACTATTTCAGTCAGTTCACCCTCTGAGATAATTGCTACAGTTTTAGCTAAAACATTTATAACAACAACATGGCAGTGTGTGCCACGATGATTCTCTGGTGTTAGTGAAGAACAGCATACCTGAGGCAATCTTCAAATAACTGTATTTTCATTGTAGCATATGTCATTAATGGCTAGTACTAAGAAAAATTGTATCCTTTATTAGGTTGTTATAAAACTATTCAACCTTGTTTATCAAAGTTTCCAACATGGAAGAATCCAGAAAATGAGATCTCATTCCCATAAATCAACAGACATTCCTCCATAATTACACACTTCAAAAAATAAAGAGGATGGGATAAGACACAAGAGGTTATGGAAACAGGACAACATGCTGGAGAGAGAGAGAGAGAGAGAGAGATTGGCACCCCCCCCCCCCATCCCCCCTCTCTCTCCCAATGTGTTTGGGAATTTCTCTGCACAATGTTCAAGTAAAGAAGGGAGTTTGATTCCTAAAGTATTTAATATTATTGATTCGATAGAATCAGAGCAAGTCATCAGCCTGCACCTAATCTTAAATACGATTCCTATCTCAAGACCAAGTACACTTTTCGGCTTCTCTAAGTTTAGCAAGGTTCTGGGCATCCTTTCATCTGGGGACGCCTACAATAGAAATCGATACTTTAAAACCACCACACAGGGATAACTACAGGAATAAATCACCGTTGACACAATTCTAAGTACATGTAACTTATGACTCATTCACTTCCACAAGAAAGAAAAAATAAAAATATTGAATTTATGTCGTCTATTAAGTGAAAGCACTTCACATCCAGTAATGACAACAGTATTACAGTTGAGCACCCACAAAGGGAGATTTGTAAATATAGTAAATTGTTGGAGGGTCATNAATTATAACTATTAAATAAGAGAGGGGGAACATGCCAGTCAAAGAAAGTACTCATACTAATTAATTTTCTGTCTTGAAGATTATCAATTAGTCAAGAGGTAAGGAGTGGTAACATAGAATGTTATGACTGATATAATGAAAGTAAACAGACGACAGACTGAAAACATCATATGCATAGGTAATATAATCAAAATGGAGAGGATCAGAGATTCTTCAAACCACTGGTGTTTCCCCGTCTCATACCTTTACAAAATACAACTACAGTATCATTAAGTTCTAAATGACAAACATGTCACCTTGACCACCATGTCTTCCTGCACATTTCGAAAGGAAATATTGACATCGTAGTAAATTTCTTTTGAGAGGACTTATCCTAATTGGGAAAAATAAGTAGCATTACAAGATATATATATATATGTAGACAGAAAATATGACTTTAGGACATTTTCATATGTGCATGGTATACCAAGTTCTACTTGCTGAGTTCCTAGAGTTTCATGTCAATATGACCTTAAAACAACAGTCTGTGTTTGTCTGTGAAGCTAAAAAACGATGGACCTAACCCTGGGTAGTAATGTTTGTACAGTATTCATTACAGCACATTATGTGCAACAGTTCTAATTAGAAGCATGGGAAATCATGCCATTACCTCTTCCTTACCATTTATCTTCAGGCCACTATATGTTAGCAAGGAACTTACACCATCGAAAACACATCTCTGGGGTAGCGCTAGCAATTTTTTTCGCTTAGCCAAATCATCACTTTTTTGTCAATTTGTTGTGAAATGGTTTTAATTTGACTAAAATTCATCAAATCAAGTCATTTTTGTTTAGCCAATTTAAGTCAGTTTTAGCATTTGGCTAAATTGGCGAGTGCTAGTGCTACCCCAGCATCTAGTTTCCAAGTTTCTGGAAATTGCCCTATGTTATAATGGATGCTGATAATGTAGCAGTCCATTTCCCAAACACTCAACTCGAAACTCAGGGTTACAAGGTTTTAATTAATAATAATGTTGTTGCACTCTTTCTCTTAATTATTATTTTTTTCGAGAAGGGAGAGAGTTTAATGACAAACACTTAACAAGCATGAAGTCATACCACTTTCAAATGAGGAAGTCTAGGAGACGTGTCAATTAAGTAAGGGAACTAATCTGAAAACATCTGCCAAGTAGGCTATATAGGATCAAATTGCAATGGCACTAGTAAAAAGGCCCTACAACTAGTTCAATGATAGCAGGATGGACTGCATGGACATAGACGTGTTATCAGGTACAAAAGTCAAAAGATATCAATACAACAATGGCAGAAGGATAAAGATCGAATTAGGACAAACTATTAGTGCGGTTTCACTGACTTATCTATTAGTGTAAGTGCTTCTAAGCAAGAGCATGATGCTCATCATATATATGAAATCAATTAATGATGAAAAGATATGAAAACATTCACAAATAGTCACGTAAATATATACAGTACACAAAGATGTGCACAGGCAACTGCACAGGCAACTGCACATATGCAATACAAAGCACCAAACTTCTCATTGAGAAATCCGTGGTTTTGAAATGATTCCATGACAATAACACTTGTTTCCTTTTCAACCTCTTAAAGCAAGTACACAACTTCCTCAGTCCGACAAGGAGACACATATTAAAATAAATAAATAAATAAATAAATAAATAAATAAATAAATAAGTGGTATAAAATAGCACAGAACATGTTATATGAATAAATAAATAATTAAGAACAAGTAACTTTTTTCCACCACTGTGATAAACTCACATTAACCCCAAAGTGTATAGCCACACCCTTAGAAAACACCCTGCGCAGATTAAATATGACTTACATCTATACTATATATATATGGATGTTTACATATGTATATAGAAGATATAATCTGGTCTATGTGCAAGGAGGCATTAAATCATCTATGCCCTGTCACGCACCCCTCTTCCTACTCCCCTTCATAAACATCGTACATAGAATGGGATGCTTGCATTAACTCATGACTTGAAATATGAATAATAATCTTGCTGCGCTACACCAAACTTAACTCCCTGCTTTAATTATCCATTTCAAAAGCACATGTTAAAGCTCAATGCTCTTTGCAAGCTTGCTTTCTGAAGCTTGCTTTAGACCCTCCCTCAAAGGACATTGATCATGTGACTGACTCGTCAATGTTTAGTTTCTTAAAAATTTTTAATCTACTTTTTATGATCAATACACAAGAGACATTCAATGAAAATCCTATTTCACCATCTTTGCAGCTATTTCTTCTTATCTTCATAGATATAGGAAAAATCATTTGCTTTAACCGTCATGGTCAACTTAATGATCTACAGATACTAAATATCCAAAGTGTTACTGCCTTTTACAAACAGCATCGAAGTGCATTTAACATTCATATAGTTGTAATGAACATCAACCAAATACTGTGGCACTTTTAAATAAGGAACACCAACCACACAACCAAACACTGTGTCGGCCAAACATGGTCATCATGTAATCCAAGCCAGTAAATCACTGTCCACAATGTCTACCAAGCTGGGCAGTGTCAGGCACAAGGCTACAAATCTACCTGATGGATGACGTCCACAATACTGTTGGAGACTGTCATGTGCTGGTCAGGTGTTGACTGACCATTTCATGTGGGTATTCAGGTGGACGTGAAGGGATGAGATGGAAAATAAAATTGACTTTTTTTAAATCGATTAATCCATCCTTATCTTAGGCATGGGTAAATGTTGTAAAAAGTGAAAATGAAAATCAATTTATTTAAACTTCTGTTTATCTAATCATGAATCTGTCTGTTTCTTGTACACATGCATCATCTATCATCCACTTCTTTGGCATCCCTGAAATGTAGAGCAATGTACAAAAAGAGTGGGCACGTTTTGAACTGTTACTGTTACTACTGAATGCTGTACTAATATCTACATCATGGTGAAGAAAATGCCTTTACATAGGGGCCTTTGGGAAATTTTAGATGTGAAATGACTGTCTTATCTTATGCATTCCAAAACCATTTATAACTCACAAACATGAAAACTATTTCAGTCAGGTCACCCTCTGAGATAATTGCTACAGTTTTAGCTAAAACATTTATAACAACAACATGGCAATGTGCACCACAGTGATTCTCTGGTGTTAGTGAAGAACAGCATACCTGAGGCAATCTTCAAATAACTGTATTTTCGTTGTAGCATATGTCATTAATGGCTAGTACTAAGAAAAATTGTATCCTTTATTAGGTTGTTATAAAACTATTCAACCTTGTTTATCAAAGTTTCCAACATGGAGGAATCCAGAAAATGAGATCCCATTCCCATAAATCAACAGGCATTCCTCCATAATTACACACTTCAAAAAATAAAGACTAGAGGATGGGATAAGACACAAGAGGTTATGGCAACAGGGCAACAAGCTGGAGAGAGAGAAAGAGAGAGAGAGAGAGAGAGAGAGAAAGAGAGAGAAAAGAGAGAGAGAGATTGGCACCCCCCCCCCATCCCCCCTCTCTCTCCCAATGTGTTTGGGAATTTCTCTGCACAATGTTCAAATAAAGAAGGGAGTTTGATTCCAAAAGTATTTAATATTATTGATTAGATAGAATCAGAGCAAGTCATCAGCCTGCCCCTAATCTTAGAGCGCATTCTCAACGAATTAAGCCAGGCTTTACAAAGCCGGTGACCTAAAAATGGCGGACGTACATGAAAGAAAAACCGCCTAATCTTTTAATAGTCTCTCCGCCTCTCACACGCCTCCCCACACGTCGTCCCTGCGGGGTACAGTAATTAAATCTCGGCTCCGAACATTAATATTTCCGTGAATATCTGTGGTGATATTATCTCCTTAGATAGTCGATTCATTGCTGCTCTACGGGCCAAATTATTCCTTTTTCGTCTCTGTTTTCAAAGATAATAGAAAAGAAGAGCTTTTTTCCTTCGATCGCCTTCAGCCGCCATGCCTTCTTCACCACGAGTTTAACTGATGAGCATGCGCACTTAATATTTCTCAGGTAGCTTCCGCATGGCGAACGGAGCCGAGATTTAATTACTGTACCCCGCAGGGACGACGTGTGGGGAGGCGGAGAGACTATTAAAAGATTAGGCGGTTTTTCTTTCATGTACGTCCGCCATTTTTAGGTCACCGGCTTTGTAAAGCTTGGCTTAATTCGTTGAGAATGCGCTCTTAAATATGATTCCTATCTCAAGACCAAGTACACTTTTCGGCTTCTCTAAGTTTAGCTAGGTTCTGGGCATCCTTTCATCTGGGGACGCCTACAATAGAAATCGATACTTTAAAACCACCACACAGGGATAACTACAGGAATAAATCACCGTTGACACAATTCTAAGTACATGTAACTTATGACTCACTCACTTCCACAAGAAAGAAAAAAAATATTGAATTTTTGTCATCTATTAAGTGTTAGCACTTCACATCCAGTAATGACAACAGTATTACAGTTGAGCACCCACAAAGGGAGATTTGTAAATATAGTAAATTGCTGGAATATTCAAGAGGTGAGGGATGTATACTTGTCATAACAGGGTGACATTACAATTAGGCATGAATCACTGCCCTCGGTGTTGTTGACATGTTTATAATTAAAACACATAATAAATATAATATTTTTCTTTCTTTTCTTGAGTATTTCAAATTATCTTGCCAAGCAACCGATCCTACAAAAAGGTTGAATTAAAGGCTGACAACTTGTGACTTAATTTCCCCCTATTACTATTGCACAACTTTAAATGGAGAATATACAAGGTTTTCTTTTTTTATTTACTACCTGTCTGCCTTGGGGATTATCTAAAATAACTTCACAAGGAGCATCATATCCTATTTACAAGGAAATGGATCTACTATCCCATAAAAACAAGAGAAATGGATATTATTGTATCTGCTTACAAAGGGGAAAACAGGAGTGCAGAAAAAAGTATTATGTTTGGCATTTTGGAGTTTGAAATCAAATGAAGTAACTACTGGCAAGTTACAAAAACTGCTCAAGACCTGAGTTAAAACATATCTGTTTTTTTTTTTTGTACTAAAATCCTGTGTAAGATTCCCTTCACATCAATTATCTTGTGAGATGAGCCATTAATTTGCTATACTAGTACCATACATACTTTCTGATGCAAATTTAATGTTTCACAAAAATTCCTTCTTGGAAATAGATATATGGTCACTCAAAATTGAATGAAATCCTTTAACCTAAATCCTCTGAACAAAATTTTCTTTTTGTGTGAAGACATACTTTCATGAGATAAAATTATGAAAATGTAATTTTTATACCCAGTCTTTAAAGTAAGTATACTAAGCAAAACTGTCATATAAAATAACCCAAATCTCAACCCATCCCTCCTCTTCCAACAATATGATAAAGGAACTCTACCACAGGTGTGTCATAATTAATAACAAAGCTAAACCTTATATTCTGGAACAGTTCGTACACTTATATTCACACAAAAGCAAGGTGGAGATTTTTATTCTGATCATTTGTAAAACATGAACTCTTTAGACCTCATTCTTCAAACATTTTAATTATGGAGGTTTATTTGGATAGCTAATGAAGCTACCAGGTCAATCATATTTCTGATCAACTCAAAACTAATGAACCATCACAAAGGCTCTCTGATGAGTCATTTTGTGGTGAGTTCAATACAAAATTGCACAAATAACACAGGAAACCACTCTGGTCGACTTTAATCTTAGAAGAGAAATCTGTATGGTTAAATGAAGGCTAGAAAGAGTGGCCTTATAATATAGTATTATTAATACTAGTATTGTACTGATATAAGATTGCTTCTTTAGATTTCACTGATGTATTGACTTCACTGTTTGATTGCCAGGATAAGAGCCAGAGCCAGGCACAATTTGTATGTGTCAGGTACATGCTTTAAATTTCCTCTTGTAATCCAAACTCCGCCTTCCCTTCTTTCCCAACACCAATACTAATACTTGTCTTGCAAACTAGATTGTAAAACATTCACACAACTCACCACTGAAAACCCAAATTCATTTCCATTCTTATAATTTGCTTTCAATAAGTTAAACGAAAAGAAAAGAAAAACTTTTTTGTCCAATCAATAATGTATTGCACGGTGAAAAACAGCTGCATGCAGTATTCCAATTTTACAAAATGGTTGGCGGTGAGTCAATGACATAATTTCGATTCTTGTCATTAGCTGTCAGAACAGCAGACAACAGCAAATGAAAGTTGCAAGAAAATTATGTCAGCTGGAAAAATGTACAAGGAAACACCATTAATAAATTAATTTTGTAACAAAAAGATACAATCTATATGTACTCAAGTTCTCATTAAACCTCATAATTATTGATGTTCACTTTGTCTGATGTTTGGGTTTTTTTGTAGACTTGGTGTCTATGTACGTATGTTCATGGCAGCCTGGCAATGCCTACTTACACTGACCAAGTTTTCCAGTACTATCCATTAACATAGAAACAAGAGTCTTACAAGTTATGAGATGAAATACTTCTAATTCGTAATTAATTTACAAGACATACAGTTGTTATTAGACATAATGCAGAAATTTCAGAAGGAAGGTACCATTCAATGGATATACTAGTAGCTAAAGCAGAAAGTCCAATCACAGGTTAGCCCAAAAGACTTATAGCCTAGCAGAAGGCCTATTCAAGGGTTAGGCCAAAAGGCATATAGCCTAGCAAAAGGCCTATTCAAGGGTTAGCCCAAAAGGCATATATAGCCTAGCAGAAGACTGATGCAAAGGTTAGCCCATAAGGCATGTAGCCAAGCAGCAAGCCCATTCACATTTTATTTCCTTACACATTAAGTTTTAGCAGAAGCCACAATTTCATCCAGCTTACATGCCCCTCCCAAAATGGACCACCCTGTACATATAAAGCTAGCAGCCTAGGATCAACATATATCCCTGCTTTTTTTAATGCTACACTGGCATAGCCTGGTAATTATTCCTGTTTTATATGCAGCAACTCTGCTGTGTCAGGCAATGGGTCTGTCACTCGGATCATAATTTTAATTGATTAAACTGTGCAAACATGTATTTCATTTGATTGCCTAGATGACGAGCTCAGAGTAAGACTGTGACTCACACAGGCACATGTTGAGAGGGGACTCCAGACCAAGACCAAGATCAATACTGCCGAGATAATGCTATCTTCATTCTCTGTACTATACACTACGTGGCCAGCCAGCGGGGAAATTTGGCATAGGTCACTTAGTTGTCCTGGCTACCACCAATATGTGAAGATATCGTCCATTTTATCTGTGGTCGAGGTCAAATTTGTGGTGGTATAAATTATATGCAGCACTTAAAACCAAAGTGGAATGGTTCAATTAGACAGCCATGTTGTGTATTTCATCTATTATCTATTCTTTTGAGATATATATATAATATGTGTGTGTGTGTCATATATAATAAGTAATGTATCATAAGAACGAAGATAGTGTATGTTCACTTGGAACTGATTCTCCGTTTTGATATAGTACTGATAATTGAAATAAATGCAAAATATTGTATTCAATAAGCACATGGCAGTTTTATTATTATTATTATTATGAACCATCTACTGAATTTCTATTTCCTTAGCCAAATCATATGATAGTTGGGAAAAGGATAAAGTAAAACGTTATTGTTTCGGCCCAATTTATCACACGCCTAGCTCAAACATACTCTGCACACCATTCCTGCTTCTCCTGTATCAAATGTTGCAGATCATAAACTGAATACAAGAATACATACCAGGATGGGTAAAGTTTATCAATGAGCAAATTAACATATCTAAGATACTATTGTAAAGAACACGGAGGAATGCGTCAATACACATTCTTAGGTGACAAATGACGAGAAGAGATAAAGATCTGATTTGTGTGACAGGCTCATTGTCATACTGCTGATGGCTGTGTAACAATAAAATGATGTCACTGTCAGTTCTGGGTTGCTTACAGCAAGCACTGTTTCACCACATTTGTGTTGCATTATAATGTACTTTTTAGTATGCTGACTTTGGAAGTCCAATACATTTTTAATCCATTTGTGATTGAAAAATATTTATGCAAATTAAATAGTGTACCAGGTTGTTAAAAAGACTAAAATTTCAAGGCAGATAAAATTATCAAACAGGAAAAGCTTACTCCAGCTTCACACTCACTGACATTGTCAACTACCAGAATGACAATTTATTTCTACTGTCAGCAGTGGTTTGCATACTAAAAACACCATCAACCTTGCAACACCACACTGGC